GGTCTGCTTTTAAATACTCATATACCTTGTCAAAATCTTGACTTCAGAATAATAATAAAAAGTTTCCATTTCAAAGTGTTTCCCTGCCTGCACTGACTGATCAAGCAACCAGACCTACAAATAAAAAAAAGATATATCTGTTACTGATTTCAAGGCCACTTGGGGATTTTTTTTTCTTATTGGATTCCAGCCAAGTTGGGAAAGAAAAAAGCTTTAAAATTAATGGCCTTACAATAATAGCAGCTCTATGGCAACTGATAACCTAGGCACCTAAGAGTCTTCTCTTTTAGAAATGCAATTTTAGATTTGCCTGGCTAACAAAGGCCTAGGGCAATGGAACAGGTGATTAAAAACTGAATAGTTTGAGAGAAAAAAAGAAAAAACTATTTGGAAGCTGTGCAAAATAAAAAAAATCTCAAAAGGTTTCCCTACAAACTTTGGTGAAGGCTTTAGCTATGTGAGCAGGTAACCCACTCTGGTTCTCACACAGGACAGGGACTCCAAAGTTGAGGTCCAGCCCAAGAGGCCAAGTGAATTCTTGGCTTTGTGCAGGGAAGAATTCAAGAGCGAGCTAACAAAGTAAAGCAAAAGTAAGTTGACTAAAATAAATAGGAACAGAAAGACAGCTACTCTGTAAATAGAGCAGCCCTGTACATCACTGGGATTTCAATTGGAAAATGAAAGTAAGTTCATTAAAATGACAGAGAGCAGGCCACTCTATAGGCAGCTTCTTATAGACTAGCCCATTCTGCTCTGCCTATGTCTACATTTAAAAATTTTTTTTTGCTTGAAAGGATTATGCAGTAATTAAAATTGCATAGTCAGAAGCTTCTGTGGGAAACTTTACAAAATATTGAATCTGTCATGCCAAACCCAAGTTTTTACAGAACCTAAGAGATCCTTTAGTCCACCTCATGGGAAACTTAACACCATCCCTAACATACATTTTGTTCAAATTGTCCTAATCGTTCCGTTTCACAGAGTGAGCATTCTTTGCTTTAATTTAATGCCATCATCAGATACCAGGTTATAGAATTGCTACCTACTAGCTAAGAAAGGAGGCTCCTGTGTCATCACGAAAAGACATGCTGAATCAGGGTAAATTCCTCTGGGGAAATCAAACAGAGATTCAATGATATCAAGTCTCATTTAGTCCCCCATGGCTTTTTATTGTTTAGTGGTTTGCCTTTAGTTTGAGCTCTTGGTTTAGAACCATTGCACAATCTACATATATTATGTTCCTGTTGGTATTTCTCTGTATTTTCTTTTTTTAATTTTGTACCTGTTGTTTCCTAAAGAAAACACTCTTAACAAAATAATGTTGGCCAAGCTCTTTGAGATGATCGCCAACATGGATGGAAAAGACAAAAATGAAACTTATTGATGACATTTAGGTAATTTATCCTAAAAGTCATTCCCTCTGAAATACCTTGTTGCTCAAATGCTCAAATGTGGTTAAAAGGATTTTGACATTGGCTTAAAGTTGTTGAGTCTCCCCCTGACATGGTACCAGACCATCCTGGTACCATGGGACAATAAAAAGCTAATCACAAGTTGATTGACCAGTGCTGCATTCAGAGAAAGAATCTTCCCCAACAAAAGAAGAAGAAGAAGGAAGAAGGAAAGGAAGAAGAAGAAGAAGAAGAAGAAGAAGAAGAGGAGGAGGAGGAGGAGGAGGAGGAGGAGGAGGAGGAGAAAGTTACTGATGCCAAGACAGAGTCACTTATGTGAAACCCTAACAAAATGGAGACCAGAGGCCAAAGAAGAATCATGCATGTTTGCCCGATAACAAGAGCTATCACAAAAGACTTTGCCAATACCACAACCTTGCACAAAAACCACTGCAACCTTACACAAAAAAGTACTTCTATGAAGATACCTACCCGGCAACTGCCTTTTCAAACTTGGACTGGAGTCACTCTCATTGCTAATTCTTTTAGGTAATGGTACATCTTGTAAAGCAGCTTACATAGCCTTCCTCACTTTGCCTTTAATTTCCCTTTACCTCTTACTCCTGTCCGATGCACCCATAATCCACTATAGTACACAGATCCCAAACTGCAATCTCCTGCATATTCCCAAATCATCTCTGAGAGAGCCTTCCTCTGTGCCGTTACAGTAGGTTGATACTTTATAACTCAGCGTATAGGAGTCTCAATACCAATCTGTTCCTGTGCCATAGCAACCCAAAGAGCTGTCAAGGTCTCCTTTCCTCTGCAGGTCAAAGTATGACAGCCCATGACCCGCATGCAAACATTGCTGAGGAGCACAACAGGGAGTTACAGATAAAGGGAGTCTTTGGCTTAGAATTCTCCATGAGTATTCTGTTCAAACAAAATGTCAAGATATGATTTTGATCAGCTCTAGTTGCAAAGTTATAATTCAGGATAATTTTGCTGGTAATATTTGTTTAAAAAATTAACCAGACCAGATATAGCATGACTTGGCTTTTAACTGAATTGAAGACATTCAGTGAAATGTTCTCAGGGTATCTGCTTAGCTGGTGTCTGGATCAAGATTGGATTGACTGACTATGGTTTTAGAAGTTTTAATTTGATTTCTGGATTACAATGCTATTGAGTGAGATTTTATGTGAAATTGAGTGGTGCGATTTTATTGTATTCTGCTAGTACTTCCAGAGATTTTGCACTGTAACTTCAAATTATGGTACCAAAAAATATTAATATTGTTTTTAAATGTGTGCATTAATGTGGGTAGTAGTTTTGCTTCTTATTTCCGTATGTTGTGTTATAATTAGATAAGTCTTGAGAACTTGTAAAGCAATTTCCAATTTGTGTACAAAAAAACTCAAGACCCTGAGGGATTTATGGTCATTATGGCTTTTTCCCCCAAATGTCCTTTCAAGAAGTCTAGCAATTACAATTTGAAAACACATACATAAATTGAATTACAGTATGGGTTAAGTTTGTGAGAACCTTATGTTTCTACTAAAAAGCTACTTGGTTCCTCCCTCTTCCAGGGTTAAATCACAATGAATAAAATATTTTGAGCACAGTCTCACAGTGTGGGTGTAAGTAGTGAATCCAACTTGGATTAAAGTTTAACACAAGGTCCGGGCAGGTTGTGGGTTCTACTCATAACCAGAGTGAGGGGTACTGTTGAACCAGTTTAATGATTATTTGTGAAACTTCTTAATTGTTATGAAGCTTTTGCAGGAGCTGCATCTAAGCATCTTGAACATTTTGCTCCTCATACCTCAAAACAATCAAAATAATTAATTGTGTATCTGTCATGGTTAAAATGCATTCACATTCAAATTGGAATGAAGAATTGAGATTTCTCTGGTTATGGTCACTACGAGAGGTCTGGAGGCATCTCCAAGCACAATGGGACCTGACGTCAATCACCCAGTGTTCTCTGTCCCCAAGTGGAGTGTTTCTCTGTGTGGAATTCGTTTTCTGGCAGACTCTCTACTTTTGGCAGCAGAGATAGCAGAGTAAGCTGCAGGTATGCGCTTCACATTTGATCATACCAAAGTAAAAACCCTGGCCTCCCCCTCCCCATTGTTCATATCAACCTTCTCCTGGACTCTGGTTGGCCAGCCTGGGTCCTATACCCATCCCAAGAAAGAGCAGTCTAAAGGAATGCATGCAAAGAAGACCAGGAGAGGGACTGAGGGGATTTCAGTCAAAAAGTTGTTTTTGACATGCTGAATCCTTGGGTTATGAAAAAGAGCAGCTCAAATAAGCTAAGATGGATGTTGAGGAAGCAGGGCTTTACCTGCAGCTGTTCACCTCCATTTTTGCCTGGTATTCTCCCATCCTGTCAGAATGAAAATATCAGAGAGTCTGCCTTAGATATACTTAAAGATACATGCCTATGAAGTTGATAGGTCAGAGGTTTCTATTTTTTTTTCCTTAAATATGATGTGTCTTTCTACCTGATGTCATCTCAGCAGTTTAAAATATGCTAGAATTTTGGTGAAATTTAGTACATTGGATGCCAATTAGCAGTCACTTCAAAAGGAATTTTGTTGTTCTTCGTTATATTGGAATTTTGTTATACTAACAGAGAAGAGAGACATCAAAACCTCCCTTTGCACTGGGTGGCAGGTTGGTGAGGATTCATGTTTTTCTATCAAGACCATTAAGAGTATTTTTTCCAATAACTGAATAAAGTTTATTTGACTTCTGTTTCAGCTTTGGGGTTCATTGTTGACTTGTTTGTTGATTTAACAGGGGAGCTTTATGTGAGAAGATTTGTGGGAAGAATAGTTTATGGGTTATTTTTGCTTTTAAATGACATTTGAGATCTTTTAAATGAAGAAGTAAGACCCAGAAGTTTATTTTATTTTAGTTTTCTTTTCCTCTGGTTGGGGCCCCAACATCTCCCAAAAAAACTTGCTCCGTTGAGCATCATTTCCTGTATCTCCTGTTGGCATGGTGACAGGACGTGGATGAACCAAAGTCACTTGCCGCCTTTGCTGTGCTGTGCTCACTGCTCATTCTGTACCACTCAGCTGGTACTGTTCGTTCCAAGAGTGTTCTTTGCCATAAAGCACACACAGGCACACACACACACACACACACACACACACAGGGCAAGAAACAATGACTAGCTCTGCTGAACTACAAATATCAATCTGTTTCAGTAAGATCCACATCACAAAAATCACAAGGGCTGGGTAGGTCACAAGTGTGGTGAAGATTGAGTTGTGACCCTGATTACCACGTCTGACTTATTCAAGAACCATCACTTATCAAACTAGGATGCAAAATATAGAAGTGAGTATTAGCCTACATAAGGTACAAGAAACAAATAAGTTATTTGTCAGTGTATTAATACAAAGAAGTAGATTCACATGCGTAGCCAATTCTGACCAGGTAATGCTGTGCCTTCTACTTTAAACGTTACTTATTTCCTGTGTATTTTTACTTTTTGAAGTAAATTTCTTGGAGTTCATGAAATACAGAATGTGTTAAATAATTTTGTAAAATGTTTTTCCAATAATTATAATCAACACTATTTTTTTCTTACAGGAACTTGAATTTCAGGATCTGACTGTGGTGCTGCACTGCATACATTCCTTTATAGCAGCCAAGGTGGCTTCCGTGGATCCTGTATTCATAGACAGTCAGAGTATTGCAAGAAAACACACGTACAGCCACTAATGATTGCTTCTGAGTGCTGAAAAATTAAATTATTTTCTTAAGAAATGTTTCTTTCCTGCACAATATTGCAACTTTGTGTGATTTTATAATAAGCCTATAGTTGTGATACCAATAAAATATGTCACTAGTTTCCAAAGATTGTGTTCCTTGCTAAGTCTGAGGAGTGAGCACTGAGTTCTTCATGCGGACCTGTGGCTAAGAGAACTCAGAGAAATAATTCACACCCCCAGCATGTCTCTAAGCCATGTGAGAGCGATAGAAACACTGCACATGACACCATGCACATTGGAAAAGCCCAGATATTTTTTCACAAAATAGATAACAGGAAAGGCTGAGAGCTCACCACTTTTTTTTTTCAAGAAGAAAAGGGTTTCCTTCAGATTTGGTGTGTCATCTTTTCTTTTCTCTACAGTGGGCATCAGAATAAGGGGATAATTTGAGACATAAGTGGTGGTTGAAATATGTGGAACAAGGAATCCACTGTAATCATTTAATTATAATATTAAATACTTAGAAATTATTATATAATTAATGTGCCATTTAGATGTAAATTTTAATTTTTTTTCCAACTCATCAAATTTGCATGTAACTTAGTTTCCTTGTTTCTCATATTGTTTTTGACTTCTCAGTAGAGGCACTTTATGTTTTTGTTATTGAAAGAATTTACTATAGTTGCTAGGAATACAGACTATAGTTAGGAATAGTCAAGATTGTATACCCATCATCAATATTTCAAATGAAGGACATACATAAAATTATCAACTTGCAACATATAGAAACATAAGAAAAAATGCTCCTGTACAGCTGCTGTTGGAAAGAAAATGTGTAAATATTAAAGATGTGATATTCATGGGGCGATGAAGATTTCAGCATAGCTCCCTGCATCCCACTCATATTTTGTTTGTATAAATATAAATATTTTTCATATACCAAATACTTATAATCAATTGTGTTTATATGATTGAAAATATATCCTTTTTAGAAGATATTCAAAATATTTTATTATAATGTAAATTATAGTAAATATTGTATATAGTATTAAATCATTTTAATGGCTTCCATGGGAGACTCTAGCAAGGAGCAGAGTATTTCAAATGCATTTTTAAATAACATTCAGCTATGTGAATGATCTTCATGGAATGCTGGGCAGTATTTCTTTGTGTAGGTGTTTATTCTCTTGCTTAAATGCAAACTTCCTATTAATATTAATAGTAAAGAAGTTGGAATTTTCTAAAATATTTGAAACTGAAAAAGTTAGTTAGAAATTTCCCTTTCTCCAATTTCTCTTCAGTATTGATATTTTGATCTCCAAACTGAACAGATGCACATTTTATTTCCTTAAGCCAAAAATCCTAAACCCACTAAAAATTAGAGGGTTTCTCTTGCATAAAGGAGTGAAGAAACTGAAGATTTTTATTTTTTATGAAAAATTTAGTCTTAAAATGTTACCTTTACTAGGTATTATGATTTTCCCTAGAAGATTTCATACTGAAATGTATTTTTATATTTGTATAGATATATAGTTTTTCTGAGAACTGTTTAAAATAAAAAAGCCAAGTATTTTCTTATAAAAATGAGGCAAGTGACCGCACATGCCTTTCTCTTCCTATCAAGTCAATACCTGTTAGTCTCCTTGTGCGGTATTATGAAGATACCACCAACTCAGGCAGCAAGGCCGCAGTCCTCAGGATACGGGCCTTGCTCCTTCTAGGGGCGAAATGAAAGGGGAGGGCAACTCTTCATTGTTGCACCATTTTGAAAACAAGACTCTTCAAGTGGCTTCAGCATCTGCTTCCACCAAGGTTTTTGGGGACGGGGCCACATCAGAAATTATTTGTTGTTTATTTGGGATAGGAAACTAAGTCTAGAATCTTCTCAGGTTTAAATTTTAATTAGAAAGTAACAGAGTCATCTGCAGATCCCAGTAGCCAATATTTACTAGAAACTCGTCCGCTCACCACCCCTCCCTGGGATGTAGGACAGACCTTTGTTTCTCATTTCTAGGAGAAAAAGCAGAGGCTTATAGGGGCTTAGCGAGTCATCCAGGGCCGTCATGTCAGCAGTCCTGGAGCTGACAGTGTGCCAAGGCAGTCTGTTGGCCAGGGTCCTCACGCCAGAGGGCCTAACTCCTTCACTGAGTGAAAGGACACTTAGAACTTTTATCTCTGCCAAGCAGTCCTAGGGAATCGTATTGTCTGGGTGGCATAGCTTGTGTTTACCCCTCTCCTTGGAAAATAGTAACCCCATTATTTTACAAACACAAAACATTTTTCCCTCTGTTACATTTTTGTGCATTTTATATTCCAATCGACCAATAAAAACAGAAAACCTTCTCACCGATGAAATATGAGTAAAAGTGAAAAATATGTAATCTGAGGAAACTATATTAATCCATTTATTGAACCTGATCTAATTTCCAATTTATATATGGGCATTTGGCAGAATATTATTCTGAGTAGTTCATTCTCTTTAGTGATGTAGGTCTATGAATATTCATGTTGAAATTTTATTTACATCTTTAAGGAGGAGGACTTGGAAATGTCCATAATCCTTAAAGGGCAAAGAAATGAAATTACAAATATTTCATCTTTTTCTGTCATGGAGGACTGCTCACCAAACCGATTTTCTCTTTGGATGTGTGTCTTGAACAAAGCACATTGGGTTTTCACAACATAGAGTCAGTAAAAATGAAGAAATGGACAGGAGAAAAAGCAAATAAACTTCTATTTAGAAAAGGTCAAGTGAGACACAACTATAGCTCATAAGATCTCAAGCCAAGGGGGGGGAAACAGATTTTAAAGAGTAGAACTTGATTTTAAAATAAATTAAATTAGCAGTGAATTATTACAGAAGACATTTTACATGGCAAGGTCCAGTTTTAAAAATACACCCTCAGAATATAAACTAGTCTCTTATAATCAGTACTTAGCTGAACTCTGTGTGTTTGAAAATGTGACACCACTCAGCTAATGCCTTTTAATAATGACTAAATCACTGATATTGCTCACAACCTTGTTTTTGAATTTTCAGTCTATTTTTACATGTTTCGTGATGGTTTCCTTCCTTCAGGATGCTTGGCATACATAGCAGTGTCTATGGAAGCCCAGGGAGTAGGCAAGAATGCTAGGGTTATTCTTGCATCCCTACAGATGATTTATGAGAACGCCTCTGATCTGCTAACAGTCTCCAATAAACCCACAACCATAAATCTCCAATGAACCCACAACCATAAATTTTGTCCTAATTTTTATGTGTCTGAGTGGACCATTTGACTGGTGTCCACTCAGACACATAAAAATTAGGACAAAATTTTTCAAAACAAATAGAAAATTGGGAAGATTTTTTGTTTGTTTTGCTATGTTAACATTTGGGTCAAACACATGAACAAGTGAATAACCCATCCCTCCTGGTTTCCAACCTGTCTTTAAAATATTGTCAGCACATAGGATGTCAAAAGTAGAAGTCTAGGCTTGGAATTCTGTTGGTTTGGGAGCTAGGAGAACTTTGTTCTTGTTCTAACACGGCCACAAGCAAATTTAAACTTGTGTGAAGATCTTAAAATCTTTGTTTTTTGGAACAGTAATAATTCTGGTTCCCTCACAGCTTCATTATGGGCATCATATGAGAAATCTGAGAAGAAGTCCTTAGTAAACTAGGAAAATTGGGTTATTACATTTGACCATGTGCCTGCTGTCTCTAAGAGTGTCCTCATCCATGAAACCATGTATCTCCATGAATGAAATGTATGCCCACATAAGAGAAAAAAACAGCAGTAGACATTTACGGGCAAGACAACACAATTTCACTATGGAAAAGCATATTTAGAAGAAAGTACTACACTGGAGTTAAAAACAAACATCCACCACAAAAATTCATGGAGACCACAGTCAACCTCCATGGTATAGTGCTCGTGAGAAACATTTGGGTTAAATGATTGATTCGTTTAACCATTATTCGAGGGATGTTAACTACAGCACCTGGCACTGTAGCAGATACTGCAGCCACAGCAGTGAATAGAGGGGCATATGCCATAGAGCAGCTCACAGGCTAGAACAAGTGACAGGCACACATCCCTGGAAATGCTTATCTCACCCTGGTGCCCATGGTGCAGGAAGATGGGCAGACAAAAGGCATCACAGCCACCAGGCGCCCTGAACCAGCCCATTCAAATCATTGACATAGTCCCAAAAAGGTAATCATTTTTGTAACATGTGCTTTATATGAAGTACAACTTTCCAGCACATGTTAGGAATTGAGATCGATTTTTATATGATAGAAAGCAGTTCTATTAATATTTTATTGCCCCAGGCAATTGCAAAAAAAATACGTAATAGTTATACCAACTTAGCAGAATTTCCGCAAGCTGGCTATTACTACAATGTTCTTTTGTGTGTTTTTTATTGAAATCTCAAAGGCGATACTCACGTTACTGAATTTCTTCATTTTTGAGAAAAATAGAGTGCATATTTGGGTATTAACAATGAATAGGATAAACTTTACTCACTATACATGTATTATACACACTATCTCTACTGTATTTTTTTTTCTTTACAAAATACGTGAGTCTGGGCAGAAATTAATGAGAGATGTCTATGGGACTGAGCCATGTAACATTAAAAAAAAAAAATTCAGATTACTCAAGATTTTGTCCTAGACGACATTTATTTATTTGTTGAAGAAGCAGCAATAAATGAATATGTACTTTGTGGGGGCTATTTAATAATTAACTGAAGAAGATTCAAACAGGAGAAAGTTTGGGGTAGTCTTGGCCCAGTGGGAAGAATTCGTTACATGGAATATAGCCCCAGCACCTTTTCCTTTGTTGTTAGTTACAAAAGTCAGTGGTAGTTCAGGCTCCCAGGCCCAACTGTATTACCACTTGTGCATTGACATACCATTTTTGATGGTGAAAAACATTCAAAACATTGTAAGGTGGAAATATATAGCTTCAAAATATTCAGGCAAAATATAAATGGTATTCTAAAAAGTAAAATAAACTGTTACCTGAAGTTTACGAATGCAGTGACCATTTCAACTTCAGAACTAATATGATGTGTCATAAATTAGCACTTTTAATACAATGATAGATATAAAAATGCCCATGTCAGTTGTAGAACTTTTTTCTCACCTT